CCTGGTGCCCGGACTGCTGGACTCGGAGGAAGTCGGAGAGCTCCTTAAGACCTGCGTCAGTGAAGTACTGAGCAAAATGATCCACGCTCTGTCTGTTAACTGGAAAGAGCTCCTGGGAGAGAAAAGAAGAGAGACTGTTATACAACATGCCATTCACATTTCAGCAAGCGTAAAGAACAACATTTTCATATTAAGAGAACACTTAGAATATCTCATATTTGGAAGAAAAGAAGGATTGAGTTTTTCAAAAGAATAAATCTCGGATATATTTCTTGAGCATCTGCTAAGGTACCTTCCAAAATTAGGCAATTTGACAAGGAAAGAGAATAAAAAATGCTAAGCAACTTACATAAATTAGTTGCACTCATTTGGCACTGCTATTTACTTTTTCTTTTAATCAAAGTGTAGCATGTACAAAAACAGAGCTAAATTTGCTAAATTAAGTACAAATAAGATGATAACCCTGAATAACGTTGGGATTATTTTAAACTGACTAGAAAAAACTGAAATCATTAACCACACTGTTTCCTTAACTATGAGTTAACAGACCAAAGCCAGTTTTAGTAACGCTGAAATGATCTGAGATAATATGAGGAAAACAACATTGACTATTATCATCTCAAGGACCTCTATTCAGCATTTCATTAAGGAAAATGCTGCTATTATTCTAAAATAACAGCTCAGAGCTAAAGGGAATTTTTGTTGTATCTCTTAACGATGGTGGCTCTAAATTAAGTTCACGGGCGAGATCTAATCTAAATCCGCCCTACTATCTCTTCAATTCATTACATAATTCTGTTGGAAATTTTTTAAAAGAGCAGCACACCATGGCTGCTCTCATATTCTTACCTCACTTCCATTTCACCTTACACAGCTCGGCAGAGTCTCAGGAACACTTAGTCATGTTCTAACCCTGTGTGACGCCAACACCCAACTAAGAAAGGAAGGCAATTTTCAAAGCTCTCACATTTTTCAGACTGCTGCAGAGTCTATAAAATAGATCCAAACTTTTAGGATGGTGAGATTTGCATATATAGATGGCCAATGGCTATGGGGCTTCAATAAAAATCTCAGAAGAAAGATCTGCAACGAGTTTGCCACCAAGCATAGGGACATAGCCAGATGGCTTCTGTCATGACTCAAATTTCAATACTCTCTGTACCATCATCCCATAATTTGCCTTGTTGAGTCATCAGTTTCAAAATGTCAGAACAGAGTTGGTGGGAGCAGCTATCAAACACACATTCATGTTAAAGCAAACATTTCATACCTGACTGAAATGTTGTCACTGATATTTATTCTACCATTCAAGAGGCCTTTCAAATTTGGGGGTGGGGGCAGGGAACTAGTTTAATTTTGAGTTTCTTCTATGAATCAAGAGGTGGTGGGCATTTTACTCATAACTGTAAAAAGTAGAAAGTTTTCTACAAAAATAAACTAAGTCTCAACAAGGCTAAGGAGCTTGACCCAAATTATGCAGCCAGAAATATTTAAGGGCATAGCTGTGTGACCCCAAAGGCAATAATTACTCTGTTACTCGTGCCGGCATTCAATACTCAATTTAGGGAGAACGTGACTGCAAATTCTGATGGAAAGTTATGTTCAGAGTAAGACATCATCAAACATGTTACTAGTGGTTTTTAATTTATTTTTATGAACTATAACCACAGTCATTATGAATGATACATAACATCTTAAAAATTATTATTCAGATTAAACTGAGCTAAAATCAGTATAAATCATGTCATGACCTTTACTAACTTGGAACACAGTTTGCATTTATTACAAAAATCCTACCCAGGACTTCCCTGGTGGCGCAGTGATTGAGAGTCCGCCTGCCGATGCAGGGGACACAGGTTCGTGCCCAGGTCTGGGAGGATCCCACATGCCATGGAGCGGCTGGGCCCCTGAGCCATGGCCGCTGAGCCTGCGCGTCCGGAGCCTGTGCTCCGCAACGGGAGAGGCCACAACAGTGAGAGGCCGGCGTACTGCAAAAAAAAAAAAAAAAAAAATCCTACCCAGGTAAAAACCTTTATCACCTCATCCCTAGATTAAGGTCTCCCTACTTCTGCCCTTCCTCCTGAATCTGCTCCCAATGCAACAGCCAGAGAGATCCTGTTAAGACCCCAAAATCACATTACGCACGTTTTGCAGAGACTTTTCCAAAAAACTTTTCATCTTACTCAGAATAAAAGCCGAAGTTCTTAGATGATAGGGGACCTACTATGACTCTGACCTGATCTCCTACATTTTTGCTCATACTAATTCCTCTCTCTTTCTTGCTGTCCCCAACATGCCATGTCTCAAAGCCTTTGCATTTTCTGTTGCCTTTGCCTGGAATACTCTTCCTGGAGATATCTAAATAGATCGCTTCTTCACACAAATGTCACCTTATCAGAGAGGCCCTTCTCGTACCACACTGACACTCCTCAGTGCTTCCCTATTTAGTTTTTCCCTCGGAGCACTTTTCACTTTTTATTATACCACATATTATTTTAATTGTTTATTTAGTTTATTGCCTGTCCCCCTGAAACAGAATGTAAGCCCCATAAAGGCACAGGTTGCCTGCTTGATTTATTTCAATATCTTCAGCTCCTAGAAAAGTTTCTAGCCAATGTCTTGATCATTCCCTTTTCCAGTGATGGGGGCATGATATCAGGCAGGCATGGTTCTAAGGCACAGCCACCCTGTCCTCATGGAGTTTCTGGTAGAAAGTGCTACCTCTGCTTTTCGTGTTCAAATCATATGGAGACAAAGAAACGTAGTAAGAACAATTAAATGATATGTGTTTTTCAAAAAGGAAATATATCAAAAAAATTTTAATGAAGTAACCTAATTAAGTTAACCAAGCTCTGCCTATTGCTGGCATCTTTAAGGAACCATGCTTTAAGAAATAACTAAGTCTTTTGTGGTTAAGTTGTAATTGTATCTTTGTTCCTAACAGTTCACCCCCCACCCCTCTCCCTTAAACAAGTACTCAGTGAAGACCCTCCTTGCTGTATCTGTCTTCACAGGTGGAGAAGTAGCCCATGAGTGGACTAAACCTTCCTACCCCACACCAGGCTTCTCAGTGACTTCTTTTGACGAAAGAAGGTGAGCTTTTAAAGCACCGGAATGTCTCCCTTCAGTCACCTGTGTTCCTGTCCTCTGCCATGAGGACAGAATAGCCCAGGTGGGAGCTGCTCCTTCAGCCTGGGATCCAGAATGAAAGGGCTGGGGCCTTGCCAAGATACAGCTAATCCAGACTCCGGGACACGAATATATTCCTTCATATGAACTTCCACCCACATCAGCAACCTATTCACTTGTCTTCTGTGACTTCTATATACCCTTCATTGCTAGAGAGTAGGTTCCATGAAGGCAGGAAACTTTTCTGTCCTGCCTCTACTGGCTCCACAGCTTCTAGGACTGTGCCTGGCACAGAGCAGGCACTTAATAAATATAAGTTAAATGAAAAGTATTATCAGTGGCAGAAATTAACAAGAATCTAGACTTAATTTTTCTTCTTTATCATATTCTAAAGACTTCCAAGACCCAAATAGGGCTATTTTAGGTAAACCTCAAGAGATAAAGGAATTTTAAGTCATTGAAAATACAAGAGTTTACAATGAGCCAGATTTGGAATTATCCCATGAATCAACACCCTTGCACAGAACACAATGGAAGAGAAAACAGATAAGTAACTAGGTAAAGAGAAGATGGCAAGCATGTCTTGCAATTTTAGACTTTGTCCTAAAATTTTAAAAGCAATTTCACTTGAAGCAATCTCTGTCATCTGCACAGCTGTTGCTTCTGGCAGAAAGAAATTATAGGGAGCAGATAGGAATTATGAGGACAAAGTATTTTTCTTGATTTTCTTTGAAAAATACAAAGAGAAGTAAAAATATAATCAAGCAATCATGATACTGGGAGCTTCAAATTACTACTATTAACTTGTTAGCTTTCTTAAATATCTAAGTATTTCCAAGGAATCTTAGTATAAACAAGGAATCTTCTTTAACCTTTTATTTTGTTAACAAACGAACGTGTATTTGAGGTCAGTGTCATTCACCTACGACCCAAGATAATCACAAATGTCTAATTAGGTGGGATCGATGTGACTTTAAATTTCATATTAAAACTTTAAATTTCTATAGTTATTAGCTGTAAAAGAGTTAAGTCTGATAAATGTTATCACTATGTCAACAAACTTCTAAATTTGAAAGTCTCTGTACTCCCTATGACTCTTTAATTTTATCATTCCATTTATTTATGCAACAAAGATTAAACTGGAATTAGTTTCTATCTGCCAATAACACAGAAATAAAAAGAACCATGTTCCAATTCGACACAGACTCGGGCATTTCAGTTATGTATTACATCACAATTGACAGAGCCAAGGCAGAAGCATGAAACATACAACCCTTTGCCCAAACAACACTTACAAGTAGCCTCTTGTCTAAGTTGGCTTTTCTCAAAGAGGAGGTAACAGAGTTGGCATCTTTTTCTGCCATCCATGCTTTAAAAAGCTTGACAGCAAATGAGGCTGCAATGCCTGTTAAAAAAAAAAAAAAAGTAAAACTTTTATAACAAAAACTACTTGTGATGATGTACAAGGCAACATTTCCCATTAGGCGTCCTGAAATGACTAAATAACTCAAAGACTTGATTTGGCACAAAGGAAAAATGGAAAGCTCTCTAGGCACTGTACTATTCATTACTCAAGGAAATATTTTCATAAGAAGGGAAAAAAAATGTTAAAGTACTTTTCAAAGTTGGACTCCCTAATTCCAACCCGTTATAACTGTAAATTTATTTATTTTTACCTTGGTCAAAACCAGATTAAAAGCCAAGGATCTTCTAGTGTTTTGTCTCTATTTCACCCTGTGGTTCACCAGTATTTCATATTTTTAACCGTGATCCTAAGGTACAGCAAATAAATCACAAGCCATAAAACTGAAATGTCAACATGTCAACTAATTTGCTGATAAATAATACCAGTGAAAGAACATCAATAGTGACCAGTATAAATAAATAAAGCTACAGATGAACACGCATCATTTACTTTACAGTTTTACTTTTTTTGCAAAAAGCATTTAAAAATATTCACGAGTTAAGGTATGAAAATGTCAGTGCTGTTTTAAGCTGAAATCTTTTCTGGATTTTTTTTTTTTTTTTTTTTTT